TTTGTAAAGCTGGTGTAGGTAACAATTCAATCAAGTGTCAGCAGTGTAACCAGCGATGTCACAAACGTTGTTCAAAAATAATTGATTCTTTATCTAAAGTGTCCAATTTTGTTTGTCCTGCTTGCATCAATTCACAGCAACAAATTCAAAATAGTAATGTTTTTGAAGCCATTAGTGTAAAGAAAGTCACATTGTTTCAATATCTAGGGGATGTTCTGGATTGTACTGGAACAGCTGAAGCTGCCGTTAGAGCACGCATACGTGCAGCCTGGAATAAAATGGCATCTCCTTGCCTCTATATTGATGCGGCGTGACATCCCACTACCACTACGATCAAGACTTTATAAATCTGTGATACGTCCGGTCTTGTTATATGGTGCAGAAACATAGCTAATGACAACCAAACTGGAACAACTTCAACGAACCGATATGAAAATGCACCGATGGATGCAACAAATTAGTCTGAAGGACCACATCAAAATTACCGAAATCCTGCGTCGTGCTGGTTTAGATGATATAAAGGACGAATGCCGGCAACACCGTCTTCGGTGGTTTGGTCATGTCAAACGAAGTGGAAACAGTGCCATAACTTTTCTTGCAGATGTTGAAGTACCTGGCACACGTCCCAAAAGCCATCCGAAGAAGTCCTGGTCGCAAACAATCGAGCAAGACATGAAAGCTCTAAATTTAAATGAAATGGATACAACTGATCGTCTAATTTGGCGAAAAAAAATTGATGACAAAGAAAACAACGTCCTACCTCGGGGGAACTGGGTCTCTGGACGCTAAACGAAGATTGATTAAGTTATAATAACGATAATTATTATTACAATATTATTAAACTATACAGACAATAGTTTCTGTTCATCTATTTTATTTTTAATTGAAAAGTTGGAGCACATCTAAAAATAGGATCAAATAGATATATTCTATTTAGGGTGTCGGAGTCAGACTAGAATTTGTTCGGCTCCAACTCGTTGATTCACCTAACCTGTCAGGCATCTTGAAAATCAATTTTAACAAAATCTTCCAACTGATATCAACTTTATATGCTCATCATCTTTCTCAATAAACTCAAGGGTGGTTCAAGGTTCTGTGTTTGAACCTTTTACATTCATCATCAACGCCTCCACTTTACACCCACAACACCCATCTAATAAATAGTGACGATGCAGACAACACATATGTAACCATACCATCCTCAAACATTAATACTATCCGAACGTAGTCCAAACAGTCCAACCTCAAACTTAAGTTTAATAAGTCACAAGCATTAATCATCCACAATAGTAAAGAAAATACACTCCCATCAACTCCTGCATAGATCAATTGAAAATCTTAAGCACTACATACATTCACCTCCCCACTTACCGTAGCTCGTCATATCAACCACACCATGAGAAATAGAGACCAAGAACCTTGTTTTGGTCAGAATTTTGGTTTTGACCAAAAATTGGAATTTTTAAAAAGTAACTGTTTTTATTAATTATATCAAAATTTATATTTTCAACCAAAAATAGTCATTTAGTTAACAAATATCTCAGGAGTAATCTACTAAAAGATGCAGAACAACTTTGATTTTTAGTTCTTAACATTAAATCTGTTAATTTTGACTATTAAAAATATGTTATCAAAAATGCATTTATCTTTTAAAATAATTTAATAAAACTGCATATCTACACATCAATTCCAAAAACCAATTATATATAATCACAATTGATAAAAATTTTAAGTAAATTTTTTTGACATGAATCCAGACAACTTGTTCTTATATTGATATTGTAATATTTAGTAAAAGTATATTTCAGGCTTTCATACAATGTATCTGACATAAATTGCATTTTGTTTGCTAACATATAGAGAGCCTAAGATACATAAGTATATTTGTGCAACTAATGCATATGACATACAAAACTAACCTAAAATTTTGAAAAAATCATTAATGAAAACCTTTAGCAAATGATAAATCCCCATTCTCCTGGCCTTCAAAATCTCTTTTGGCAGCAAACAACTTTTCATTGTCCCGACATGAAGGTAAATTAATTTTTTCAACATATGAGATCGGAAAGTTTCCGGTGCACTTATATGAATAACCAGCATACCAATTATCATCAATTATTTCTGTAACAGCAAGTATATCATTGACATGTAATGAAACTTCATCAGGTTGTAGTGCTTGGTACTTAAATAAAGCTCGCACATAAAACATAATTATAGGAACAAAAATGTGCGTTGAGAAATTGATTTAATATGCAATGTCATTCATCAACGATGGCAAAATCCTAAATTTTTAAGAAAACTTGACTGTTGACTCAGTCAACATTTGAAGACTAGAGTGTATATCTGTAGTGTAATTGTAATGTAATGTAACATGATGACTTAGTTTCAACTCAAATCCCACCCTCGAGCCAGATCAAGAAGACGAAATGCAAATCAAATCCCAGACAACACAAATATAATGTCAGCAGTGGTTACAATATTAGTAGTGGTAGTAGAGTAGTAGCAGGTGTAGTAGTAGAGTAGGTAGCATAGGTTATGATGAAAAAAATCATAAAATAAAATTAATTTTTTTAATAAGTAAAATATATATGTGTTTTTAAGTAGTAAGCAGTTCTGAACAACTTCTGAGTTCTCAAAAAAATTTAAATTTATTCATGCTAATTAATAAGTTTCAACCGTCGGAAGTCTGTTACTTATTTTCATTTTTAAACGCTAACAAACGTGAACAGTAGCTCATGCAACACCCCTGTGACCACTACCAGACAGAATAAAACAAAATATCAAACCGTAAGTTAAGGTAGGCCGATAGTACAAAACACAAATAAGTTATTTAGATTAAAGCTTCATGTAATTATATGTATTAACGTTATATATGTCGAATAAATCTATATCAAATGGAGTATGGGTTCCACGGGCTGCATTGCACTGGTCAGCTGTGCAGCTATAAATCCAGGGAAATGCCCTCCTGTCAATCAATCAATCAATCAGTTTAAAAAGCGCTATTTCCGCGATGTTCAACAGCGCTCCTCAATGAATTTTGTAAAGAGATGGGTCTTGAGAATCGCTCTGATTTTCGTAAGTGATGGAGAAGTAGTCAGAGAAGGAGGTAGAGAGTTCCAGAAAAAAGGGCCAGAAAAAGCAAATGCGAATTTAGCAAAAGAAAGTTTAACATGAATTAAAAAGAAGTGAGAATAAGAATACGATCGTAAACCGAGGCGTTTAGGTTCAGTTAATATATCTGATAAGTACTTAGGAAATAATTTAGATTGAAATTTATACATAAATCTGCAAATTTTAAAAATTATTCTATATTTTATAGGTAACCAGCGCAAAAGAACAAAATATGGAGTTAGATGAGAAAAGAAAGGAGCACGAGCAACTAGACGAGCCGCTGAGTTAAAAGCTTTACTTAAAGGATAGAGTGAAAAATCAGGAAGACCATTGAAGAGAGTTACAATAATCAATCCTAGATAAGACTAACAAAATAACAAGAAGGAGAAGAGTAGGATTGTCAAAAAAAGGCAAAAGTTTTTATTCTACGTAGATGAAAGTAAGAACTTTTAGCAACACTATTAATCCGAGAAAAAAGAGACATGCTAGAATCAAAAATAAAACCTAGACTACGAAACTTGTGAAAAACATCAAGCGTTTTAGAAACAGGTAAGATAATAGGAGGAATAGTAATAGAGTGTTTAGATTTATTAAAACAAATTAAATTAAATTTAGAAGGTTTAAGTTTAAAACACATATTGTCAGACAAAGCGATAATTCATCATTTACAATAGGCAAAAAAATAACATTACCTCCATAACACCCATCAATCACTCGCACAAATCGACTAAAAATATTAGGCATCACATTCACCTCCACACTCAATATAGCACCTCATATCAATTACATCATCACAAAAGGCTTTCAAACATTTCACGCACTCAAAACACTCCGTTCACATGGTCTCAGAGGCGTCAAATTATTCGACATCACCGAATCACTCATCATCTGACGCATCAAATATGCAGCTCCCTCCTGGTCTGGTTTTGCCACGTAACAACAACTTCAGCAGCTACAATCTCTCATCAAAAAACTAATTCGCTTCAATTATCTACCTGCATCATATCCTACCGTCACTCAGATATTCAACACACTCGATTCAAGGCTGTTCAAGAAAATAGAAAATAACAACGATAAAATGAAGTAATGGCATAAAAACGGAAATTAATAGACTAGATAATGACTTTGTGAGTTAGTGAGGCGATTGATGAATAAAAACTAGTTGTGTGAATGATAAAGTTCTATTAAATAAATCTAGTTGTGTGAATGATGAAGCTTACAATGAAATTTGAAGCTTCTAGTCTGTGTGCTGCAAGCAGTTGTTCTGGAATGATGGTTTCTGAGACTTAGAATAGGGAATAACATATCTCTTTAGAAGCTTTCAGGGCAACTGAGTTGTTTAGAACTAACACTGCTCACTTCAAACGAGGAGAGGTCCAGAAAAGGTGGCCTGAAAAATACTCGCTTCCAACCTTTTCTCAAATGGGTAACCGCGTTCATTAAGCATATTTCTCAGCGGTCATAAACATAAATTGATTCGTGGACCTTCTTGATTTGAAAATTGGAACATCCAAATGTTTTTAACCAAACTGTAACGGAAGGGCTTGCACGGCGCACTGCTTTTACTGCACTTGAGCTGGACATTGACATTGACCAAATCGACATTGCTGCACTGTCTGAAATCCGTCTGCCAGACGGGTTTCACATTGTGCAGCAATGGTGGATTTCTTGTTAAAGTGAAGACAGGAAACACATTCTTTTGGAGAAGTTTATCAGAAAATGATCCGTGGATTCGTGGTGTTGATTTTGCTGTCCGTACAAACTTACTGAAAATATTATTGAGATTCCAGTCGGGGTTAAAAAAAACTTATGCATTCTACTTTTAAAAAAACGTCGCATGGCCATCCTACGTGCTTACTCCCCAACTTTTAACGCAGAGAAATTGATAAAAAAATATGTTCTACGAAAGACTTGTTACCCCTCTTCAGAAAATAAATAAAAATGACAAAAACGTAGATCATGTCGATTTCAACGCTAGGGTTGTAACAAACTTCAGCGTCTGGACTGGCATTCTTGGCAGATATGGTCTAAAAAACGCAAACTGTAACGGAATCAAACTTCTCAACCTTTGTGCCAAATTTAGATTAGGCATTACAAACACCATTTTTCAGCAGCGTAGTTAAAGAAAGGTTGTCTGGAAGCATCCACGGTCCAAGCACTGGCATCTTTTGGACATTATCATAGCCAGACAACATGATGACACAGAGGTCAATCATACACAAGTTATGAGAGGCGCAGAGTGTTGGACTGATCATTACCTTGTGTTTAATTGGCAATTAAACTAATCTCCCCAACACATAGACAGGGTTCAGATAAAAAGCTGAACATTAGAGCTTGCAAAAAACCTAATAGTGCAGGAAAAACTTTAGAAAGAAACTTACTCAACAAAGTGAGCTGTCCACTTTATCCGAGCAACCTACTGGTGTACCCTCAATGACCGATGAATGGTAAATAATCAGCTTTTGTATATTGTGACAAAAGCTACGACAAAGATTGATGGGTTTTTCGCAAAAAATAATTAGGACTGGTTTGATGAAAATCAACCTGGCAATTTTGATTTTTTGCAAACAAAGAATAAAGCCCTTAAAATTAGGCATTGCAATCCAGACTTATTCAGTCTTAATCTTGCATGAAAAGAATCACGTGCAAAGGTACGCAAGTGCTGCGTTGCCTGGAAAACTATTGGTGGAAAGAGTAAAGTAGGAAACTACAAAGATTAACGGATAAAAAAACATGCAAATATTTTACGAATCTCTCAAGCCTGTCTATGAACCGACCAGCACTTTATCTTGATAAGTCAAAAGATGATGCTGTAGTAAACAGGGATCTTAAAGAAATTTTGTCACTATAAGCCGAGCACTTTAGTTATTTGCTGAAGTGCGTCAACCCGGTGTATTCGACATTTATAGAAGCTCTTTCGAAATTTTTGACTGTTGCTGAGCTTGATAGCCTACTTGCTCATTACAAAGTTTTATTTGTTACCAAGGAAATAGAAAACAACAAAACGGTAAGACCAATCAATCAATCAATTAGCTTATAAAGCGCTATTTCCGCAATGTTCAACATGTTCAACAGCGCTCCTCAATCAATTTTGAAAACAGATGGGTCTTGAGATCCGCTCTGAACTTCGCAAGTGATGGAGAAATAGTCAGAGAAGTAGGTAGAGAGTTTCAGAGAAAAGGACCAGAAAAAGCAAAAACAGATTTGGTAAAAGAGTGTTTAACACGAGTTAAGAAAAAGCGAGAACAAGAAGACCGGGACGTTTAGGTTCAATTAATATATCTGATAAATACTTAGGAAATAATTTAGATTGAGACTTATACATAAACGTGCATCTCCGCAGGAATATACAAATAAGGTGATTTTCGTGTGTGTCAGCGGCTGCATAATTTTTTTTGAGTGTAGACTACTGGCATTGTACCACAACAATGGAAGGATGCAAACATCGTGACTATTTACAAAAAGAATGGCAAGCATGTGGAAACAGTCGTATCTTTGCTTTCCACCGCTGGCAAGATTCTGACGCATGTCAAGTTGAAACGATTTCAAAAACAAATTGTTGATGTTGTCATTCCAAAATCGCAATGTGGCTTTGGAAGCGGTAGTGTCGTAGCACCACATATATGAGTTTGCTGTACACCTCCTGATGGAAAAGTGCCGTGAACAAAACCAGGATCATTATCTGGCTTTAATCGATCTAGGAAGGAATATAAACCGTTTGATATTTTGTTGTGAGTAAAATAGGGCTGCTTTCTGATTCCTGTGATTTTTAATCTGTTTTTGACTTCTGCCGTTATCAAGCACGACGATCTCAAATCAGCGTAGCTTTATGGGACTGGAAAAAAAATACTGACTATGCTTAAATATTATGCAAATGTATGAAATTAATCAATTAAAAATTAATCAAATCAAATCAAATGTTTTAAAAATGAATGAATATTTAATGGTAAACTATAAAAATGTAAAAACTGTAGAATATGATAAATTTGATGAGACCAGAATGAAACCAGACACTAAAGCGCACTGAAAATGTGTGCGGGTGCTTTTGAGGGTCATTATAAGCATTCTTTAGGCTCCATTTAAAAGGCGGACGTATCATAGATGGGTTCCGATAGCTTAATAGCTTGATATGCTAATGATCCTTTAACAGCACATATTCTAATTATTTCTCAGCAGAAAATATGCTAATAGACTTTTATTCTAGTTATATGACTTTTACCATACAATCATATTTTTATAGCGCACAGGAACATTTATATTATACTATATATACGGTTCCATTACCGTAGAGAACTCCAGCATTGATATACCGCTCCTAAATATATATATATATATATACGTATATATAGTGCTGTGGTGCTAAAAAATTGTCCTCTTCACTTTTGATGTTGAACTTTTTCAAAACTTCCGTTTCCCAGATTGTTATTTCGAATTTTGTGCCAAAGTTAAAATTGGATTTGCTGCCATAGATTTGTTTCGAAATGGATAAAAAAATGCTGAAATCCAATGGAATTGTCAACAATTCTTTTAATGAGAGTGAGACCGAATATTCGAAGAAATCATGGATCGGATCGCTACTTAAAAATCTTGTTAGTGGTGTGAAGCATGAGTCTACAAAAATACAAGGTAAGCAATGACAGAAAACTTTGATAAGTTTGGTGGAATGTTTTTAACAACTATGTCGCTGCTGCTTAAATAAAAGTAAAATGATTGTGTTAGAGTTAAGTTTTTTAAAGTTAAAGTATTTGTAACGTTTTTAATTTTAACAATTAAAATAAAGTATTCTTAATAAAATCTATTATTAAAATAAAAGTAGTATAATAAAACTAAAACGTATATTTTATTGCCCAATCAAAGTTATTAAAATTAAATCAACTTTATTAACAGCATTAATTTAAATTTACAAAATCTTTTATTTTACATTTTTCTTTCACTTTTTTTAAAGCCATTCTTATAAGGCTACTCCCAAAATTTAAAAGCCATTTTGTAAACAACAGGGATGTAATACAAATCTAACGTTCTACAGATGAGTTTTTCATGTTTAGTAACCTTGAAGATGTGTTATTGAATTTAGTGATTAAAATTCCAAAACGATTCAACATTTAACAAAGTATCACTTTCTTGATTATGTGTGTTGCGTTAAAACTTAATTTTAGTTTAGAACTATAATAACTATTTAATATTAATTTTAAGTTGGAAAGTGAGTACCAGAAGCTTTTTTTTAGAAATCAAACTTTAGTACTAGTTACACAGTGGTTTGTGATATATTAATTATATAAGTATGTATGTGAGTGGTTAATTAATGTTATTAATAATAACATTGCGACCAACTCAAACACAACAAAAACTGTTCAAAATTTTTAGATCAAGACATCAGCAAATCTAAGCACATGGGCATCAATAAATTGATTGCTTGAACACCTGGGCTGAATTTATCAAACTCACAAAATTTGGTGCAGTTACTGGTACCACCAAAATTATGTAGCCAGCAACAAAAAAAAATTTGTTTCTAACAGACATATGAAAGATGCATTTAATTTATGTAATGATAACATGCAAACAACACTGCTATCTATTGAATTTTTTATTGTTTTGCTATTTAGTAATAAAAATTTCATGTTTAAACAGTTTTCGTTTTGTTGAATTTATTGTCTACTTGTGACTGAAAATATGGTGGAACGGATCGTTTTTTCATGTATTTAATACTTTCGGACCGGAACAGAATTTAATAGGCATGCTGCGGACCACCATTACACAATATATATATATATATATACATACACACATACAATAACAATAAGGTGGTGGTAGAATGTTGGTAGATTTGTAGATTTTGTTAATTTGTTAATTTTAGAAGCATGGAATCTTTTGGCTACAATATTTATTAAAAATAAATAATAATTACAATTACTTCAATATTTTGAAAAAAATGTAAATAAAATGAAATAAAAATTAGTGTGAAGAATGAGTGTGGTTCAAATGAAGACAAAGTGACACGTAGTGGTGAAGAAATTTCCAAATATATATTATATATATATTGTGCATGTGCATGATATAATGATACTTTTAAACAGCTGATAACGTTTGCATATGTATATATATGTATGGTCCGTTACAGTTAATTGTTTCTATTTCTTGCTCACTTTCATACTTATCTTACACTCTAACCATGTTTTTTAAAACAGTGGACCATCCTCACATATATACTTATCTCGCCAATCTAGAACAATGAACCTCATTAGTTGCAGAGATCATTCTGGCTCTCACGCTCTCACTTCTATTCTTATCTCACCAGTACTAATTAATGAAATTTTCTTTGTGTTGCTAGTCAAGTCTTATTTTTATTTTTTTATTTTGAATAGTTTAAAAAATTTTTGGAGCTCTCCGCGGGACCGGCAGCTGTCCGCGGACCACCACTTTGAAAAGCACTGGTCTAAAGACTATTAAATTTTTGATTTTAACGTCTTCAAAGTTTAAATAATAAAAATGAATATTACTTTAAATTTATGAAAAAATGCATATCTTCAAAGTAGTAAACGCTGTCAAATGAAATTTTAATCAAGACTTGCACTTGAGTATAGTAATTGATGCTGTACGCAGCTGTGATTACCACCGACTAAGGGGAGCAGGTCAGAAATTCCCACTTATATATATTTATGTATACATACACACAAATATATTTATGTTAATGTTGCACTCCAACACTGATAGAATACTCAATGTGGCCCTCAGAATAAAGTTTACCCACTTTTGATATGTTAATATTTGATTAGAATTATTTTTAAGCTTATTACATTTAATTACTAGTAATGAAATCAAAAGAGTATTTTACCCAACATTCTTTAAATCATAGGTAGTGCAAACTCTGAATTATTAGCAACAAAGATGAATCCCCAAACTGAAAGGCTGATGAACACAACGAAAAAAAAAAATTTGGTTTTGCCTTCTTTCCAAAGCATTAAAAGGTAAACGCTTTATGTTTTTAGACAAATTGTTGATTTTTGATTATATATTAGAACAAAATTTCATTTTGAAGTCCTATTTTTATATACATTGGATTCGGTTTTTTTATGAAAAAAATACATGAAAAGATAAAATAAAGAGACATCAAAGGAGTTCAGTG